AAAAAACCAATAAAATCTTTAAAAAAAAATTCACATTGAAATGAAAAAAATCCACAATAACCAAAACAATCTTGAAAAAGAACAAAGTTGGAGGACACACACTTGCCAATTTCAAAACTTACTACAGAGCTACAGTAATCAAGACAGTGTGGTCCTGGCATAAGGATAAATAAATGGGATAGAACTGAGATTCCAGAAATAAATCCACACATCTATGACCTACTGATTTTCAGTGAGGGTGCCAAGACCATTCAATGGGAAAAGGACAGTCTTTTCAACAGATGATGCAAAAGACTGAAATTGGACCCGACCGCACACCATATACAAAAATTAACTGGAAACAATTCAAAAACTTAAAACTTAAAACAAAAACTTTTACTATATAACTTTTAGAAGAAAACAAGAGTAAATCTTCATGACCATGCATTTGGTGATGGTTTCTTTTAGATATGGCACCAAAGCACAAGCAACAAAAGAAAAAAACAAACAAACAAAGAAACAAGATAAATGGGAATTCACCAAAATTAAACTTTTGTTGCATCAAAGGACACTATCAGGAAAGTAAAAAGACAGCCCAAAGAAAATGTTTGCAAACCATATATCTGATAAGTGCCCAGTGTCCAGAATCTATAAAGAGCTCTCACAATTCAACAAGAAAAAGGCAAAAAACATTTAAAAACTTAAAAACCCTTAAGGGAAGCTGGATAAAGAAATCACAGGCCTGTATTCTTCACGAAAGTTATGGTGATGAAAAGGCAGGGGGACCGTTCCAGGTCAAGTGTGACTATGGACACAGAAGAGCCAAAATACAACATGGAAATAGATCCTGAATAAAATGTGCACACAAACACACACACACGCACTCACACCTGTGCACGTGCACATGTATGTATATGCACACACGTGCACACAATTGTGCAGACAGGCATGAGTGAGCACACACACTAGATATAAGTTACATCTTGAGGGCACCTTTGAAAACCTGAATATTGCCTATGACATGAACAATATAATTGAGTTAATGTAATTTTCTTAGATGTGACAATGGCCTTGAGGTCATGTTGAAGAATGTCCTTATTTTTAGGATATATTGTGGTCAAGTATTTAAGAGTGAAGGATCAAGATATGTGTAACTTACTTTCAAATGCTGCAGCCACAAAAAGTATAGAGAAATAGATAGATGGGTGAATGGATGGGTGGATGGAGGGATGAATGGATGGATGGAGGCAAAAATTAATTCATAAATCTAGGTGAAAGGCATGTGGTTGTTTATTATACTTTAAAATAAATCTAAGTTTGTAACTATCCCCCTTATAAAAAGACAAACAAAAGTACCCTTCTGTTTGAAATGTTGGCTAGAAAGAAGGAAAGCGCACAGAGCTTTCTCCTCTCCTCCTGCGGTAACCCTGTGGCGTCACACTAACCCTAAAAGATTGAAGTGACATTCCTCTTATACAGAGCAGTTCCCCCCTGCATGTGCCTTGGTGCCAGAGGAAGGGGAAAGGGCCCCAACACAGAGCCCAGCCTGGACCAAGCCATGGCCACTCTTACCTCAATGCCCTGAGGTCGCACCCTGGTGACAGCCTAGGGGTAGAGAGAAGCTGGAGCCTGCTGACCTGACTCAGGCAGGATGGAGATATCGCCCCAAGAGGAAAGTCTGAGAGACCCAGCCAAGTCCTCACCTACTGAGAACAGCGGTACTGGCAGCTGGGGACACAGGGCTCCTTCCCGTGGGAAGGCGGCCAACGCCAGTGTCCCCACACCACACTGCTGGTTGAACGGCTTTACAAGAACGGTGTGTTCAGCCAAGCTGGGCACGGTCTCATCTGAGTTTCTCATTCTCATAACCCCTGCAGAGGGCCATCAAGCCCCGGAGACAGGCAAAGAGCCAGGATTTCTCTGATCGGCACCCCAGGGGTCACTTGCGGCCTCGGGTCTGGGCAGGACTGCTAGAGGTTTATGAGGCTGGCAGGGCCTGGGAGCCCATGGTGAGTGGTTTGCATTAGGAGCAATGCTGGCGAGGCTGCCACCCCCCAGGGCAGCCAGGCTCAGCCCCTGGTACTCTGGTTAAGGGGGTTAACAGAGTGCTTTACGAAACACGTAGCTATATATCGTTCAATAGGTAAGGGACTAAACAAACCGCAGTTCGTCCATACCATACAATGGAGTATTATTCACCACTAAAATGAAAGGAGCTCTCAAGTAATGAAAATACACAGAGGAAACTTCAATGCAAGTTTCTAAGTGAAAGAAGCCAAACTGAAAAGGCTACATACTGTATGATTCTGACCATACAACATTCTGGAAAAGGCAAAAATATAAAGACAGCGAAAAGATCAGTGGTTACCAGGGGCTAGCGGGGAGGGAAGAATGAAGGGGTGGAGCACAGAGGATTTTTAGGGCAGTGAAACCATTCTGTATGATACCGTAACGGTGTGTATATGTCATTGTACATTTGTCCAAGCCCACAGAATGTACAGCACCAAGAGAGAACCCTAATGTACACTATGGACTTTAGTTCATAATAATGCATCGATATTGGCTCATCCATTGTAACAGATGTGTCACACTAATGAAAGGTGCCACTGAGGGGAAACTGCACAGGGGACAGGAGTACATGGGAACTCTCCCAACTTACTGCTCAATTTTTACAAATCCTCTCCACGCACCTCTCCATGCATCTTACCTAACCAGGATTGTAAAATAACAGACTTAGGAAGAACAAGAGACCCAGCTCTTAGCTAGTTTCGTCTTTACACTCAGTATGTCTGGATGTATCTGGGTAGGGAAATTCCCGGTGCCTTCACACAAGAAGTGGAAGCCTCCAGAAAGTGGAGAACCCAGGGCCGACAGCAGAGGGCCCCATTTTAGGCCTGGGAGCAGCGGCACCCTGAGGACAGGAGTCAGTCATGTTTATCACGGTAAACCCTGAGCCATGGCCTTAATGTCCATTACAAATAAATTACAGGCATTCATTCCCAGGAATACCCTCCTTGCTGGACGGATGAGGGCTCCAGCATTGGCATCAGCATTAGTCCTGCTGGGGCTTGTGTAGGTTCCCTGGAGGCGCGTGCATGCCACATCCTGGGCTCCATCCTGCCTGGGAAAGGGCACACCTGAAAACCTTACCTGCAGGGGGCGGGAGAGCAGCTGCAGCTGCAGGTAGCACTCACTGGGGGAGTACCAGCTGCTGAGGGAGAGGTAGCTGGGCAGGTACTGAGTCCCCACGGGCTTTCCATTGAGTGCTGTCACCTTGGTCTGAAGAAGAGATGGTACTTGGTCAAGGCCTGGGTGCCTGGGAAGGGGGTCTTTAGGATGCTTCTGCCTGCCCTGCCCTGCCCTGCACTGCACTACGGGAAGACCCTCTCAGGCTCCAGTTTCCCTTTGGGGAACTCGCTTCCCAATTCTCAGACAATAGGGTTCAGTGTGGTTGGCCTGTTCTTCCCAGCTCTGCGAGAAGTAATTGTCCACAAGACTGGCCACAGGATGTTGGCAGTCGGCTCAGACAGGGACAGGTGGCCATGAGGAGACAGTGCCATCACATATTGGAGAAAACCCCCTCTGCTCTGTGTGCATGCGTGCGCCCCTTCCCCCAGGCTTGCCAGCAGCCCCAGCGGTGGCTTCTCTGAGGGAATAAAAAGCCTGAGAAGTGAACAGAGGAGATAGCAGTCAGGAGAGGGAGCGGCTGTCCTGGACAGATTCCCAGGGGCTCTGGACCCGGCCCCGCCTGGAGCTCACGGCCCTTCCCCTACATGCCCCAGATCCTGGTGGTTATACTATTATTGCTTCATTGGCGGTTTAAGCCTGTTGCCTTCACTTGCTGCTAAAAGAATGTGGCTAACACAAGGGAGATGTTAAAGGAGGGAGTCGAAGACTTCTGTGTGATACAGAATAAAGAAGACGGCCAGGCTTCCGCCTCTGAACCCCTGCAATTTCTTGGATGTTGACAGTGTGTTTATTATTCATGGTGGGTCCTGATAATGTGTGCTAATGAGATGATTCAGGATGGGGACTGCCCCCAGCCAGAAAGACCAGTCATTTGATTGGAGGATTGGGGCTCTGAGTCACAGATCATCCTGACCTCCAGGTTGGGGAGGTAGCTGGAGACTGAGTTCAATTTGGGGGCCCATGATTCAATCAATGGCACCTATGTAATGAAACCCCAATAAAAACAGTGGACACTGAAGTGTGAGTGAGCGCCCCTGGTTGGCAGTTCTTTTTGTGTATCGTCACACATCAGTGAGCCAGGAGGGTAATGAGTCACGACTCCAGAGGGACAGCACAAGAAACTTGGAATTTGGGACCCTCCCAGCTCTTGCCCTATGCGTCTCTCTCTTTGCTTTGTCCTAATTTGTATTATTTTTCAATAATAAAACTGTAGTTGCAAAAGGTGCAAACTTCCAGTTATAAAATAAGTCCTGGGGATGTACTATGCAGCACAATGATTATAGTTAACAATACTATATGTATATTTGAAAGTTGCTAAGAAAGGAGATCTTAAAAGCTCTCATCACAAGAAAAACATATTTGAAACTATATGTGGTGATGGGTGTTTACTAGACTTACTGTAGTGATCATTTTGTAATATGTGCACATATTGAATCATTGTTATACATAGGAAACTAATATAATGTTATATGTCAATTATATCTCAATAAAAAAATAATTAGATAATGTTTAAAACTGGTTCTGCTTTAAAAAAAAAATAATTCAAGACCTTTCCCAAGGAGTATTTGGTAATAGAAACAATATCTTTCTATTAAAGGGACATTTTGGGAAAAAGCTAATTTTTACACGTATCAATGAGAGAGAAAATCATTCAGCTAATTCCAATATTTGAATCATTTGGGGGCTTTGCTGCCCCCAAATTTGCTGCCCCTTTATTTAATTGCTAAAGGACTAATGGAACTACAGAAATGTCTTTCAATCATTTTTTTAAAAACCTGAAATTGTAAGGTAGTGGGGCAGCAGGAACCCCCAAATTTATAGCCAGTTGGTAAAAAGTGTGGGTGGCCTGGGCACCGCTGAGCTTGAGGCTTTCGTGGTTAAAAATCTTTAAGGACATGTCACCTATAGGGGACACAGAGACCACAAGTGTCCTTGGTTCCCACCTACACATTTATTCTCAGCTGCCTCATCCCCACCACCCCAATGTCTCTGGGGCTGTCACAGAGCTGGGAGCCAGGATACCACTTCTATCACTCCTGCCCCTCCCTCCCCTGATAATACCTCAAGTCCTACTGATTATACCTCAACAGCTCCAAGCTTGGTGCCCTCTCCATCATCATCTCCTGTCTGTCCACCTGTCGTCACCCAGCCCCCCAACTATGGGCACTGGAGAAGTTGCTGGGTGTCAAAATTCAGATCACCCTGTTTCCTGTCACTACCTTCTGGGTAAACCCAAGCACCCCTGGGAGGTGGGGGTTAGTCTCGCCAGCTCCTTCCTCCATATCTCCCTGAAATGGCTTAGCCTGGATGGACACTTGCACGACCCGACTGCACTATGATGGTGGGCCTCTGGGCCTCTGCACATACTGTTCCATTCTCCCAGAAGCAGCCTCCCGCCTTGCTCTGGGACAGGTGAGTTATCTGTACCCCTGTTGGGTTCTCCCATCAGACCATGAACTCCCTCAGGGCAGGGAGAGGACTCCGGCCTCCTGCGCATGTACCTGCTGGCTAAATGACAAGGGTCCAGGTGACTCACCCACCTCCAGCCACACATGCTGGGCTGACATGGGGATGGAGGGGATTTCAAACTCCACCAGCCCACCTCGGGACACAGACTCCGTAGTGTAGATGTTGTCCTTTGGTGTCAGCTCTGCCCTGATTTGAACCGTCACCCCCTCAGCTGGGCTGCCATCAGGGTAGGACAGCTCCACCTGGAAGGGGTCACCAAAGATTTCATGTGGTTAGGCAACACTCCCCAAACTGATTTACCACTTGACCTGACCCCACCAGAACCCTAGCCAGCTTCTTTGATGAAAGAGACAAGCTGATGCTAAAATTCATAAGGAATTGCAGGGGCCCTCCAGCAGCCAAAGCAATCTTAAAAAAGGAACAAAGAAGGAGAACTCACATGTCACAATTTCAAAAGTCACTACAAAGATGTAATAAGACAGTGTGGTATTAGCATAAGGATAGACATGGAAACCAAAGGAACTGAAAGTCTAGAAATAAACCCACACACCTACAGCCAATTGATCTTTGATAAGGGTGCCAAGACCACTCACTGGGAAAAAGTATAGTTTCTTCAACAAATGGTGCTGAGACCACTGGGTCACCACATGCAAAAGAATGAAGTGGAACCCCTACCTCACACCATATATAAAAATTAACTCAAAATGGATACAGATCTAAATGTAAGAGCTAAAACTATAAAAACACTTAGAAGAAAACATAGGGAAAAACCTTTGTGACCTTGGACTGGGCAAAGAAATCACAAGGTGAAAATCAGCACCAGCCAGCCGTTAGCCTCACGCCATGCCAGGGTAGGAACGGCGTGGGCAATGCCATAGACAGTTCCTCGTAACTCAGGCCTCACTCATTCAGGCGGGTAGAAAAGGTGATCAGAACGAAGGGTTCAGAAAACATGAATGTCGTAAAAGAAATTTGTTCATGGGCCCTGAGGGACCCTGGAACAGGTATTTGATGATGGGGTGCAGCAAGAGGGGAACACAGTGTGAGGACTACCAGGATCCTATGGGTGGCCTGTGGAAGGCAAGAGGGGTCAGAGGTGTGGGTGGCAGTGTTCAGGGGTAGGGCTGGCTTTCCCCTGAGATGACACCCAGCTCTGCTGCCCTTGCTTCTCCCAGCTGCAACTGGGACCCTACGGCAGTGGTTTCATGGTGGCCCCAAGGCAGGAGCTGGAGTAGAAGGCAGCACAGAGCCTGCGACCTCAGTTTGTCCCTGCTGGGCATCGGCCCCTGCACTTACCATCCCCACATAGGACAGACCCGGCTTGAACTGCTTCCTGGTGACCTTAGAGTACTGGATGTCTACCAGCTGCCTCTGGACGGGGGTGGAGTCGTCAAAGGCCACCTGCTGGCTCCCATCCACAGTGGTGACTGTGGCCCAGATGCTGACTATGCCCCGGAAGTGCTCAGGGACGTCGGCCAGGATCATGTCCCTCACGCAGATGTTAAAGTCCTGGGAGCCATGGATCTGGAGGAAGGAGACACACAGGCTGTGCTCAGTTGGGGCTGCAGTGGCTCCAAAGGACAACTCGCAAACACACATCTGAAATCAGGTCTCTCTAGCTGCCTGGAGACCCAGGGGGACACTCGGGGTTGGAGTGGCTTTGGGGAAGGACTCACAAACGTATCTGAAGTCTGGGGCTCTCCAGCCACCTGGAGGGCCAGGAGGACACTCGGTAACACACCTGGCCTAGGCCATGGGTCACTGTGTGGGGATGGATTCCGGCTAGAGGTGCGCAATGTCCCTGTCTACTGTTGGGCAGGAGGTGAGACAATCTCCCTCTAGCCAGACAGCAAGGAGGAGATTTGAAAATAGTCAGCCCCATTTCAGAGCACTCGCTCCCCTCGCACTTCCAAGGCATAGAACTCCCCCATTCAACTCCTATCTCAGGACCCACCTGGGGCCTGGCAAATCCACATTCAGAAACAGCTGTGGCGTGAATTACTCAATAAAGGAGATAACTAAGACAGGGACCACCACGAGCATGCAGCCTCCAGGAAGAAAGGAAGGGACAGGGAGAAGATTTGGGTGGGGGTGAGGAGGAGCTGGTGCTGACAGGGTTCAATGTCAGAGGCCCCACAGAGGCACAGACTCTCCAGGACATGCGTGCAGGTACAATGGAGCACACTCACAACGTAATGTTAAGTTGAAGAAGAAACACAAAAACTAGGTTCTAAAGCTTGACACACAAGGAATGTGAAATCATGCAGTATGGGAGTTTCTGAAACAGCTAAACACAGAGTCACCATTGACACTGACCCCCAGTCGGCAGTCACCCCAGTCACCCCAGGAAGCCAACCCATCACCTACAGGTCAGACCTGCACAAAGTCAGGCAGACCCGTATCTCTAACGACTAACCAATAACCTGAAACAACCGGCCCCCAATGGCCAGGATTTAATAACTGACAATTTCCCTAATTTTTGCCCTCATTTCCAACTTAGGACCTACTGGAGAAAGCCAAACGTGCAGCCCTAACGCACTGTTACAGGTGCCTGCTTCTAGTTAGCTGTCTACAGCTTCTCCAGGTCACCAGCCTGCGATAGGAAGTTGTCTTCTCCTTTTTTTCACTATAAAGCTTTCCTACGTCTCCGCCCTGCCATTGAACTTCTGCCAAACGCAAGTGGTGATGCTGACTAACTTGCTACAGCAAACTCCGAATAAACAGCCTTTGTTCATCCTTATTTGGTGGTCTTCATTTAATTGCACACCATGCAACCCAGGAATGCCACACTCAATAGAAATGAAAACATCATTTACAAAAACTTGTAAATGAATGTTCAGAGAGCATTAGTCACAATTGCCCAAAAGTGGAAACAACCCAAAGTCCATCAACGGATGAATGGATAAACACAATGCAGTCCCTCCATATAGTGGAATATTACTCAGCCATTAAAAAGGAACGAAGCACTGACATGCTACAATGTGGATGAGCTCTGAAAAAAAGATGCTGAATGAAAAAAGGCAGACACAAAAGGCCAATAGTCTATGATCCCATTTATATGAAATGTCCAGAACAGGCAAATCCATAGAGACAGGAAATAGATTAGTGGTTGCCTAGGGCTGGAGACAGAAACAGGGATTAACTGCAAAAGGACATGAGAAATTGGCGGGGGGATGGTGGAACTATTCTAAAACTGGATAGTGGTAATGGCTGCACAACTCTGTGAATATACTAAAAACAAAAACAAAAAACTTTACATATGATATCCTAGGAGGAAACACATCAAAATATCAACAATGGTTGTGTCTGCTTGTTGGAGGATAAATCACCTTTATTTTCTTCCTTTTTAAACAATTTCTAAAGTCTCTATGTTCAGCCAAAAAGAATTTAATCATCAGGAAAATTCCCACTGTATACTGTTTTGGAAAGTAAGATAAAATGGATGACCATGGAGCTGAAGCTGAGGGAAGACCCTGTGGGTGAGCAGCACGGGGTTCCTGTACCTCACCTTCATGGTCCTAAGAACGGCGCGCCCCACCTCCTGGCTGTAGTACCCCACTCCATTCACAGTCATGTTGATCATTAAGGTTCCGGACACGGGTTTCCCAAAGGTATACCTGGAACAAAAGGACCAGAGTAGTAATTTCACAAGCAGAAGCATGGTCACTGGTACAGCAGTTGGATAGGGGTGGAGTTGTCTAAGGCCACCAGCTGACTGTGCCTGGGAAATACTCAAGGACATTCCTCACACAGGGATGCTTCCCTATCCTACAGTCCATCCTTAAACAGCCCTTCCCGCAGCCCTAAGTCAGGACAGATAACATCAGGGCCCTGTGATCCTCTGTACCAAGCCTCATGTTTGACAGAGAAAGAGACTGAGGGTCAGAGAGGAACTCTGGACCCAAGAACAGAAAGGATGTGTGAGACAACCACTGGAATTGGTGACTCCATTGGAGCACCAGAGAGGCCCGGCCCTAAGTGCCCTAATGGATTCAGCTTTACACTATGAACTTGACTTCTCTGAGCTTCAGTTTCCTCACCCAAAGAATGGGAATAAAACTGTCATCTCAGGGATATTGGTGAAACTTAAATGCATATATGTCATGCCTGATGCAGAGAGAACACCTGCTTACCAGCGTGCAGGAGCAAAATGGGAGACTGCAGTGAATTACAATATAATGCCAGGCATTTCAACAGTATTTTCTAGACTAGAAAACATGTGTACCCAGCACATCCTTGCATTTTAACACACACACAGCTGGAGAAGACACAGGCCAGAGAGTAGCCTTGGCCAGGCCACAAGCTCCAGCAGGCAGCAGAGCTGGGGCTGAAATATGGGCATCAGGGATCGGAGGGCTCTCCTGGGGGCCCCAGAAAGGGACAGTGTCTCTTGACACCCTCTGGTCGATGGCACTTGGGCCTTGGTGAAAGACCTCGTCATTAAGAGGAAACCGCCTCCAGAAAGCCTTCTCAGGTCAGCACGCAGCTGTGGGTGATGCCCGTAGGAAGGAGGGGAGAGGGAGGCTTCAGGGAAAGGACACGGCCTGCAGGAGGGGGATGCCTGACAAGGAAAAGTACCTCTGGAGAAAGGTGCCTCCCTCAGGGGAGGGGCTTGTCCCAGAAGAAGAGCCATCCATGGGGGACTGGGAGGGGGGCAGCAGCAGGGGAGGAGCATGCTTGTGGGAGGAGCATGCTCATAGTGGGAGGAGCAGGCTTGTGGGAGGAGCATGCTCATAGTGGGAGGGACATCCAGTAGGAGGAAGGACATGCCCACGGAAGGAGGGGCATGCCTGTGGGGGGCGGGGCACAGCCTTCTCACCTGGCCTGCACGGTGCAGATCTCACAGGCGTCCAGGTCCCTGATATAGTGGGGTGGGTCAATAAGGAGCTCAAACTTTGGCAGCACTGCAGGGAGAGAGCAGAGAGGAGGGAGGCTGGCGGCTTCCACCACAGGGGTGGCCTAAGAGTGCAGGAGGTGTCAGAAGAATGACAGCCCCACCACTGCACTGAAGAATCCATGCCACCCTTGGTTGGGCACCAACAGCTCTCTGGGGATTTGCCAGCCACATCTATTTCCTTCCTATCTTTAGGGGACCGGCCCCCGTTTCTCTCAGGGGGCCACGTACTTTGAGTGCAACCAATTCCAACCCACCCCAGGAGTATACCAGTGGCTCCCAGACCAACTAGAGGCATCCTGGAAGGGTGCAGGCCTCTCTTTGCTGCAGGACTCAGTCTGGGAGTGTCCAGCCATCTGGTCACCCTGTGCAGCTCACAGCTTGGGGAGGAGGCACTGATACCTGGGAACAGCATGGAGGAAACCTGGTCCTGAGAGCTTGTTACAGGAGCCAATAAATCCCTTTTGCATACTAAATTTTCACTGGGCTTCTGTTGCTTGCAACCCACAGCCCTGACCTCTACAGCTTTTCCTTCTAGAATCTTCTTAAAAGGAGGAGAAGCCCTTGACCACATAAAGGTGACTTTAGCACAGAAGCAGAGTAACTGGCTCTGGCAGGTTCGCTCCCCAGCTCTTACTTTAGCATTTTCCTTCGTGGCTCTCTCGGCCTCAGTTTCCCCATCTGCAAAGTGGAGATGCCTCACAAGGTCAGGACAAGGATGAAAGAACAAAAGGAAACTACGGCCTTAAAAAGGAAGGAAAATCTGACACCTGCAACAACATGGATGAGCCTTGAGAACATTATGCTGAGCGAAATAGCCAGTCACAAAAGGGCAAATGCCACCTATATGAGGTCCCTAGGGTAGTCAGATTCCTAGACACAGAAAGTAGGTGGTGAGTGCCAGGGGCTGGGGGAAGGGGATGGGGACTTAGGGTTTAATGGGGACAGAGTTTCAGTTTGGGAAGATGAACAAGTTCTGGAGATGGATGGTGTGATGGCTGCACAACAGTGTGAATGTACTTAATGCCACTGTACTGACTGTATGCTTAGAAGCAGTTGAGATGGTAAATTTTATGTTACTTATTTCTATCAACATTAAAAAAAAAAAAAAAAGGCCAGCCCTCTACACCGTGCCTGGCTGTACCAAGCCCTAAATGTACGGGCCTCCTGCCTTCCGCCTCATCAGCACCTGTGTCATCCTCGGGTCTGTGGTTTCTCCCAGATCTGAAATCCTAGGATGTTAGATTCTCCGACTTACCATACTTCTGAACTTCAAAGGACTTGTTGTACACGTGGCCTTGCATTTCGACAAAAATGAACCATTCTCCCAGCACCGGCTGGTCGGACAAGGGGAAGGTCATGTTGGTGATGCCTGTGTGAAGAGAGATGCCCCCCTCATCCTGTGGCAAGTGCATGTGCAGACAGCCAGCTGGGCCCCATGTCTAACAGTGGCAAGGTCAGGGCAGAGGTGCCCTAAGGACCCTCTGCCCCAAACAGCCCCTCAGGGAAGCCAGGGACCATATCGAGGCTGGGGTGACTGTGCAAAACAAGCACCCCTGAAGGCTGGGAGCAGGGGAGCAGGGAGAGACTGCATCTTGGGTTCCTAGGAGAGCCTTGCAGCCAAGGTGAGACGCAGGCCATGAGCTGGACAAACCAGAGAGACGGACCACCCAACGCATCCACTCTGCTCCCCACCCAAGTCATTCCTTTGATGAAGGATGGCTGCATATGCCCTATCCCTCCACAGGAATCTCAGAATCAGGAAGAGGAGAGTGGACATGGGGAGGGGTTAAGGCCAGCCCAAGGGACTCAGACGCCTGACACCGTGCAAACCACCATAGCACACGTGCCTGCTAGAGACCCCACACTCCAATTCTGGCTCACAGAGGCACGTGGGGTCCAGGGGCACCCCCAAACAGGACTCGGGACCTGTCAAATTTGTGCATTTTCCAGGCTGAGGTTACACAGCTGTACTCAGTCTCTCCAAACCCCACCTATCACCTACCCCATCTTGGGGATCCACTTTCCTTGGGGTTAAGCTAAAACGGAGATGTCAGTCACACAGCCCTTATTACCATAAAGAAAGAAAAGAAATGCCAGCTCCTCAGCCAAAGCGAAGCCTCTGACTCCTAGCTGGAAAAGAGACATCTCATGCTGGGTAGGGGATAATGAGGTAGAAGACCCGCCGTGGGAGAAAAGTTGGGGGTGCTGACACATGAAGCCCCAATGTTCCAGAAGGGTCCCCAGGTACAGGCAGGTGCCCCAGCTGGATCCCAGGCACAGAGGTAATTGGGTGGAGGGTCCCTAGAGACAGCCCATTCTGTTTTCCTGAAGTTTTATCACATCTGTCACCGTAAGGTGCAGCCCCCCAACCACAGAAGGAAGGGGAAAGGATGGAAAGACATTTACCGCAACAGACCAGCTCCAAGTGTCTCCACTCCATCATCCTTGAGCCCCGGGGATCCTGTAGGGAAACACACACAGTCAACTCAGGGCAGCCAGCATGCGCCCGGTTTGCATGCGGACCTTCCGAGCCCTCTCTAGGGCAGGACAATCACGGAGGGCAGACCCCACATTAGCCATTTACATGGGAGCCAACAAGAGCTCAGGAAATAGAAGGAACTTGTCTGAGGACAAAGGGGCAGAAGAGGCCAAGAGGGGCCTGTCTCACTAATCATGGACCACCGTTTAGTAATCTATGTGTGATCTACAAAGAGACAGACAGATGCATGCTTGGCCTGTCCCATGGTGGACCCAGGGACCAGAATGGACCGGGTCCCAGCCTTGTGAGGCACAGAGCATGCAGGGATCAACCCAGAGGGCAGGCAGTGGGCGAAGATAGACCAGGTCTCGCCGAAAGCAGGCTAACCAGGTCCGAAGTCAGAGCTGAGGAGGGCAGGCCACTCACCAAGATGTAGGCTTCCAGCTGCAACAAAGACAGAGAAAGGCAGTGAGCAAACCCCCCCGAAACCCCCCAACCCTCTGTGCATGCTGTGTCTTCGTCCATGCTCAGCCTGGATCCCTCAGGACAGACACAGTCACTCTTAGGGGTGAAATTGTGCCTCACCCCCCCAAATTCATATGTGGCATCCTAAACCCCAGGACCTCAGAATGTGACTGCATTTGAAGATAGTTCTTTCTAGAGATAATCAACATAAAATGAGGTCATTAGAGTAGGTCCTTATCCAATAGAACTGGTGTCCTTATAAGAAGGGGCAATTTGGACACAGATATGCATAGAAGGAAGACGATCTGAAGACACAGGGAGAAGCCAGCCAGCTACAAGCCGAGAAGAGCATCCTGGAGGAGATCCTTTCCTCATGACCCTCCGAAGAAACCAACCCTGCTGACACTTTGATCTTGGACTTCTGGCCTCCAGAACTGGGAGAGAATAAATTTCTGTTGCTTAGCCCACCCAATTTATAATACTTTGTTACAGCAGTCCTAGCAAACTCACTTAGTTGCTATTAGCAGTGAGGGTGGCGTGGTCAAGCCCTATCACAGGGCCTCTATGCTCCCTGCTCCCCATCACGGTCCTGCCCTCCCTTCTAGACTTTCCTCCACCTCCAACCAGGGATGGCTCTTCCAGGTGGCCTTCCTAGACCGTCATTGGGGTATTTTCTCAGGCGGCAACTGCCAGGTTCCTCAAAGGCCCAGAAAACATGCTTTCATCTCTGACCCCCTCTCACCCCCCCCCGCCCCCAGCACCTGCCTGGAACCTGGCAGTGAGCAGGTACCCATGAACGTCAAACTAGTTGACACTGACTCTGACCAAGATGCAGAACTCTCCAGTGGAGGTCACAGCTTGCACAGCTGTGCTTTCTGATCCCTACACCATGCCCTGTTTGGTCCCTATGTGTGGCTGACCCCATGCTTATGGATCCGTTCCCACTAGCTCAGGGCTGACTGTGTGTCCAGGGATATCTCGGTTGACAATCAATTTCTTGTGATTTTTACCCTTGGGCCTCACCCGGCACAAGCCCGCAACCAACCTCTAGAGCAACCAACCTGCCTAATGCCACGACCCCTTAATATAGTTCCTCATGTTGTGGTGACCCCCAACCATACAATTATTTTCGTTGCTACTCTATAACTGTAATTTTGCTACTGTTATGAATCGTAATGTAAATATCTTTCTGTTTTCCCATGGTCTTAGGCGACCCCTGTGAAAGGGTCGGTCGTTCGACCCCCAAAGGGGTCGCGACCCACAGGTTGAGAACCGCTGCTCTAGAGGAAAACAGGCAGCCGCACACAGCCAGGGCTCTTCCCTTCTGTCGTGTGTGTCAGGTCCTTCCTAACAATAACTGCGTATGGGACAGCAGCTGATGTCAAGTGACTGAGCCCCGCCTCCTCCCCAGGCTGTGGCCCTCCTCAGACATCTGGGTGCACAAATTCAGCACCATCCACTCAGAAACCAACACACACACACATTCAGGGCCTTCAACACTGCCCTTGCTGTTGACTCCAGAGCCCTGCTCCTGGGGCCCAGCTGAGCCTGAGGAAGGCTATGCCAGTGGAAAAGAAGGTTCGCAAATACAGATAACCCTGGCAGCATCCTGACACAGTGAAAACATGGAAACAAACAAATGTCCTACAGGCAGGGGGCGTTAAGTACGAAGGCTTCCTTGGCAGAAGGAACTCAGGCACTGAGGTGAGTTGACAAGGCTACGTCCAGAACATGGGCAAGTGCATTAAAATGTCCAATGAAAAAAAGCACAGGAACTTGGGATGATGGTAGTTAAGAAAAAGCTGTGTACCCACAGAACTGCTCTTCTAGGCTGGCCAGCAGGAAACTTGCAGGCTATTCTCCAGAATATGAGCCCCGTGGTGGTGGGGTCCATGTCTGCTCTGCTCAGTGATATGCCCCAAGCACTCAGTACTCAAGGACACATGCAGTGCCCGCCTTACACGCGTACCCCTCAGGGCTCCCTAAACTGAAGTAGCCTGTAGACCATGCTCACATCTTTGCTATATAGCATATGTACAGTTTACTTAAATCTCTTTCTTCAAAATTAATGACTTTCTGAAAGCTCCTCCTTGCAGCAGAATGCCAACTAAAAAATGTAGAAAAAATAATGGAGCTGGAAAAATCACAAGTTTGCAATCTTCATAGCAAGTTTGGATTCATTTTGGAATTACCTATGGATGCTAGAACTAGCAGGTGAGTGTCTGATGGGATGTCCACAGTCTCAAGTGTCCCTCACAGATTACTGATTGGCTATAAAGGGTAAATACAGACTTCCAGGGGGGAGCAATGGGGTGAATTCTACCTGAACCACTGGCTGCACTTAACATCACCAGCAATGGGACAAACGAAGGTCAGGTGCTTCCTGATACGAGGCACGGGGGAGGACTAGCATGGCTCCTGTAGATCCCGCCCCACGACGCACAACCTGAACATGGTCATGAAGAACTAGCAGGCCAGCCCTCCAGGGGGAGTTCCACAAAACAACTGCCTGGACTCTCCTCAGAATGTCAACATCATGAAAGACACGGAAAGGCCGAAGAACTGATTCAGATGAAAGGACGCAAGGAGACATGACAATTAAACACAACACGTTGTCTGGGACTAGATGCTGGACCAGCCAAGAAACATGCAATCAAGGATGTTATTGGAACAATGTGTGTTTTATATTAGATAGTATCGATGTCAAAATTCCTAAATGTGATTATTGTACTTCGGTTATATGAGAGAATGTTCTTGTTATTAAAGGATACAGGTATTCAGGGGTAAAAAGATGTGATACTTGCAAATTATTCTCAAATGATTTGTCATTAAAATAATTTTATAAGTATATATGTATATATGTGTGTATATACCAGGGGTGCCAAAAAATGTACACAAGTGGACACTGGTCAACGTTGCTCAAGCAGGAGTTCGCCATAATCAGAAGTGTCTGCATGCTGATGGGAACCACTTTGAACACCTCTTGTAACTGCAGAAGTCAAACGTGACTTGTATTTATTTTTTGTTATCGGATTACAATTTTAATACAGTTTTCCTTTCTTAAAATGTGTATACATTTTTTGGCACCGTGTGTGTGTGTGTGTGTGTGTACATATACATACATATATATATATATATATATATATATA